CCGATCTACAATTTATGACATTAAAAGAAACCACGAGAAGATCAAGAAGTTCGTGTCAACTACTGACTGCGGGCCAGGCAAGAGACAGACACTCAAGAAAGCTGAACATTCAGAATTGGTAGAAGCTTTGTACATATGGTTTCTTCAGGAAAGAAATAGGCATGCACCAATTTCAGGACCCATGTTGGCCATGAAAGCTAAGTTTTTTATAAGGAAATAACAAAAAAAAAGATGATTTTGTGGCCAGCAAAGGATGGCTAGAACGTTTTAAAAGTCATCATGGCATAAGTTTAGTGACTATTACAGGAGAGAAACTTTTTAACGATGCCACCTGCATAGAGCCCTTTAAATTAAGATTTTTGCAAAAGGTGAACGATTTAAATCTTGACCCGTCACAGGTGTACAATGCAGACGAATCAGGGCATTTTTGCCGTGTGATGCCAAACAAAGCTTTCGTTTCTTGTAACGAAAAATCCGTACCTGGACGAAAAGTAAGTAAAGAGCGTGTAACCATACTACCATGTGCTGACGCTGAGGGCACATCCGCGCTTAAGATGATGGTCATTGGGAAATCTAATAAACCACGGGCATTCTAAAATATTGATTTACCTGTACAGTATTACGGACAAAAAAGGGCATGAGACCTTTTCAAAAAGTGGTTTGATGAATGCTTCGTACCTGAAGTTAGAAAATGGTTAAAAGATCATAATTTTCCTCAAAAAGCGTTGTTGCTTCTTGATAACGCTCCCGGTCATCCGTCTGAAGAAGAACTAACAACTGAGGATAAATGCATCACTGTGATGTTTCTTCCGCACTGATTCAACCAATGGACCAGAATATCATTCAGTTTGTCAAGCAAGACTATAAGAAAAACCTACTTTTGAGAGCCGTATCAAAAGACTAACCAATAGAAAAAACTTTAAAAGAATTTAATATGGAAGACATGGTTTTTGCTCTTTGTCAGTCGTGGAATGCGTTACCGTCATCAACTATTAAATCGTCTTGGAAAAACTTATGGCCAGATATAGTCACCACTCCTAGCAACGTTCCACAAATCAGTGTTAGGTACTTCGGAAGTTATACAACAAGTCGCTACTGAAACACAGATAAGTCCGGAAGATTTTGAAATCTGGTGCCGTGGAATGGATAAAGAGGAAAATGTTTTTCATGAAATGTCTGACCAAGAGATTATAAAAGAGGTTTCTAATTATACAACAAACAATCACAAAAATAACGACGACGTGATTGCAACTGCTTCACAAGTCACAGCACAAGACGCAATTAACGCCTTTGAGCTAGGTTTACAATGGGCTGAAAAGAATGGTACATCCTACAACGAACTTTTACTTTTGAGAAGACTGAGGGACAAAGCTCTAATCTCGCGTTATAACAACCTTAAACAAAAAAAAAATATGAATATTTCCAAGCTTCCTAATTTGATAAATTCATTAATGATTTTGATTAATAATTCTTGATTATTTTGGTATGTGCATTTATGCTCAATTTTATAATAAAACGTAAGCTCTCTATTGTTATTTAATTTACTAAATTCGACATGCATAAACTATGTATGATTTGTACTTCAAAGTACATACATATACATAACATATATAATCTTTCGATTGGATATGTAATTTGTCGGGTTACAAGGTACTCTTTTGTAAAACTATAGGGGGTGCTAGGCAGTGCTCTATAATCCGACAAATTCGATCGTCCGACAGTGCCCTGCATAATGTTTGTCGGATTACCGGAGGTCCACTGTACATATTATTCAATAATGAATACACATTGTTGTATCGTGTAACCCTCTATTTTTACTTACATTAATCTGTCAGCTGTCAAATTGTTATTTCTTCAGGGCTGCCTACAATTTACTGCAAACATGGCGGCAAATCCAAATCTTGCGTTAATTATTAATTATGGGACACCCTTCATAAATTATAAAATGATTAAAAAATGATGATAAAGCACAGCAATAGGGACACACTTGACAGTCATAGTGGATATAAATCATAAGTTTGAAGATACCCGTTTTCTTTCCAAAAAGTCGTGCAGATGGCGTCTGGGAGAACAAAAATTCCATTTGACTTATGACTTTTAAACATTGATTTGGGATTTATTACTCGAAGTTCCAGAAGTAAACAATTGCACAATTTTGGGCAGATATATCCACGAACCTTGCATCAGAGTCTTCTAGCTTGGGTATGATATTATGAAACATAGTCTTCTGAAGAGCTTCATACTTATAATAAACATATGATAAACAATCTTATTGTGGTAACTCTTATATTTATATTAACCCTTAACAGGAAACGTGAATTTTTGGAACACAAAAGGAAACATGCCGTCTCTCAGACTGCGAACTTCAAGATGTTCAAAAAATTAGAGTAAGGCGAAAAGCAAGCAATAACTTCGCTGAAACTGATACTGGATGTTTATTTTATGTGTTTAATACGTAAAATGCTCATTTCAAAATGATACAAGAACATAAAAGAAACATTTTTATTAACTATGCTAAAACCATACAAAAATAACGCTGTTGTTGCAACATTCAGAAACTAAATTAAAACTATGGAAAAGTCTCAATATTTTTCTATTTTCTAGTTAAGTAATGAACAAGGAAAGTATATTATAGTCAATAAATACAAAAAGAACACAATCAAAATTCACTGCAAGTCTCAAACATTGCCTATATTTATGCAGCTAATACATTTGGGTTTGGAGCATTGAAGACATACAGGCTTCCTACATTGTACACACAAAAATTTGGTCATCCGATGGGTCGTTCGGTGACATAAAAAGCAGGCTTTCCTTTTTTCCAAAACCAAATTTTCAGCTTCTGTTGCTGGATGTTCACATTTGCCAAGGATGCGATTTATCGTAAGTCGCAAATCCCGAGGTAATCTCTAGTCGCTTTTCCATATGTTCACGGACCAGGTTAGCGGCCAACATCTTAGCAAATACCGATTTTTCCTTCTGCAATTCATTTTTCTTATAGCACTGGTGTAAAATATACGAGTTCACTACCGATATATCCAATAGTCGGTAGAAAATAACCAGTGGCCACCTACGCGAACGGCGACTTGAGGTACTCTTCGAACATTTTTCATCAAGAGAATCAACTCCACCTTTATTAGCATTGTAATAGGCTATTACTTCCGGTTTCTGTGTTTCCGGATCACAATATTTTCTGTGGTGCATAGAAGATATGAGTATTGTGGCTTTATTTTTTTTGCTTACATGAGACACAATAGTGGAATCTTCTCGAAATCCGTACATTGTTGATCCGACTTCTCTTGATTTGTTGGGTAAAAATGCCGGAGGAATTTCTCTTTTATTTTTCTTCATTGTACCCACATAGGTCAGTTTGTTCTTCAATAGGACATCCATTAATTCTATTGACGTAAACCAGTTGTCCGCTGTAATGTTGCGATTAGTTCCAAACAGAGGCTTCGCGAGACGTAGAACTGATTGTGTGGGTTTGGAATACCGCTTGTGTTCCTCAGGAAGTTCGAAACTATCGGAATCTTTACCGCAGTATATATATGCGTTATAGAGGTAGCTATTCCTTGCATCCGTCAATGCCATAATTTTTATGCCATATTTGCAAGGTTTCGCAGGCATATACATTTTAAATCGACATCTTCCTCTGAAACTCACGAGCATTTCATCGACAGTGACAGACTGGCCAACTCCGTACACATCTTGACAGTTCTTTATAAAACTATTAAAAATGAAAGATATTGGTGCTACTGGATCTAGCTTCTTTCTTTCATTCCTGTCATCTGGGTTATCAAACCTTAAGGCTGACAGGAGAATACCAAATCGTTTTATGTTCATGACAGCTCTGAATATATCTCTTCCAGAGCCATCGGTGGCAAAAAGTGTTTCAATGTTCTCGTGGTTGCTGTTGAACACCGATGTATATACTAAGAGACCCAATAGTGCCTTTATTTCGACTAAATCAGTGTCGTTTAGGTTGCTGGTTTGATTTTTGTATCTCTTTCGCATTTCTTTGAGCTTGTGATTGGTCCACTTAACGATATGTACCAACATGTCGTCAGTGAACAAAAGCTGCCAAACCGTCAACGGAGCTGCTTCTTCTCCATATTCATGAGCTTTTCCTCTTAGAGTTGGTACTTTAATGACTATATTGTGCTTCCTTGTACGTGATGATGGTACAACTTCCGAAATATTCCACCTATGACGATTTTTTCCATAGAAATAATTCTGAGCTGGTAAATCCTCTTCATTTCCTTCGGCTCCGTCTTCTGATAACTCACTATCACTTGTATGATCTGATTCCATGTATTCGTCTTCTGAGGCACTGTCTATATCACTAAAGTCACTTCCTTCATCCTCAAACCATTTTAGAACGGTTTCTTCGAACTCCGGATCATCGTATCGTACACGTTTAGAAGGTCCCGCCATACTCGCAAACGCACCTATGCAACACAAATAGCAAATGGGAACAGAAACGTGCCGTCTGACAGACTGCAACAAACTAAAATTGGTCCATATTTTAAGGCACGTTTTGGCTAGACTCGTGTGAATGGGGGTGGGCGATGGTCACTAATAGCTTATGGATTAGATGGGTTTTTACGTCTGTTAGAGGTGCAATAAAAAAAGATACGCTCAGGTATAGAAACGCCGCAGTCTCACAGACGGCACCTTTCCGGTTAAGGGTTAAAATATCACCTTGTTGTGAACAAATAGTTGTCTAATATCTGTGTGACACGTTGCTCCGTCCTACTGAACAACATGTTTTGTAGGTACGATTGTCAGCTACAAAGCTTTTTTATCATATCACGACAGTGACAGCAAGGGAACTACCTCTTCTTTGACGACGGCTCAGGGTTGTCCATATTCCAGATGCAAGTATTTACATGCTATGATTTTTTATACAAAACTTCTACTTCCAGCAAAGGAAAATAATCAGATCTATTTCAGTTTGAATAATCCTGTATTTGTCACTAATTACGTGAACCAAATGTTTTTAGATCTCTATTCGGACTTTGGTGTTGGAGGAAACGAACCAATGGACACTCTGCTGGTAGATAGCTTTCAAAATACATACGTGACCGACACATGGAGCTTTTCAACCTACCAAGTCAGTACTGACACACATGCTAATACCTGGGCTAGAGCACCTGGTAAATACTAGTATAACAAATTAAAGAAATCTAAATATAGGATTTGCTAAGATTTATACTTATCTAACCACAAGATAGATGGTAACATTGAATGAGCTTAATGCTCTGGATACTATGGAGTAGTTTGCACACAACCTTTATTCAACAATCAATTGACACATTTTATTGTTAACAAAGTTTCCTAATCTGTGTTTAGAACACTGGTCTCAATAACAAGTAACAAAATATACTAAGTGACATATAAATCCGAACACCCTGTTTAAATGGTTTTATTTTAATAAAATTTTGTATAAGTACTTAATGAATAATATATAAATATATATATATATATATATATATATAAATATGAATAATAAGTAAATGATAAAATTTTCAAAATGATTGCACTGCTTTAAAGCCCTTTGACCTTTAATAATGTGTGGATGCACCCTGATGTGCTACGCATTCTCCAACGCGCCTAGGCATGCTTCTGATCAGGTGGTCAATGTCCTCCTGTGGTATCTCATTCCAGGCAACCACCAACTCCTCTCGAAGTGCTTCTAGAGTCTGAGGAGGACGTTGCAAATTGAGCAATCTCCTACCCATCATATCCCACACGTGCTCAATTGGGGATAAGTCGGGAGATCTTGGTGGCCATGGTAACAATGTGACATCATTATGTTGAAAGAAATCTATTGTGACTCTTGCAACATGTGGTCGGGCATTATCTTGTTGGAAAGTTGGATCTGCCATGGTGTCAAGATAGGGTAAAAGATGGGGTTCTAGAACTTCGTGCGCGTTCATGTTACCTCTGATGAAGATTAAAGGTGACCTGGAACCATAAGCTATAGCACCCCAAACCATAACTCCAACAGTGTGATGAACATGTCTTTCAACAAAAAAACTGTGGATTCCTCCTTTCACCACGTCGCCTTCTAACCCTGGCACGACCATCGTGCATGCCTAAACAAAATCGAGACTCGTCACTAAAGACAATACTGTTCCATTCCTGATCCCAGAGTGACCGTTGTCTGCACCACTCAAGGCGATTACGTCGGTGTTCTCGAGTTAAAGGGAGGACCCAGTGTGGCCGGTATGAAAATAAGCCAAAACTTCTCATTCGTCGGTAAACACTTTGTATGCCAATAGGTCTTCCGTGTTCTGCAAACCATTCATTTGCAATGGACCTGGTAGTGAAGAAACGGTCCCTTAAGGCCAATAATCTTAGGCGGCGATCTTCACGGTCTGTTGTTCTACGGCGGCGTCCAGTGCCCCTTGCTCTTTGCGTACGGCCTTCTCGAAGCCATGCCTGACAACACCTAACCACAGTGTCTACACTTCTTTGCACTCTAACTGCAATTACCCGAAAAGAAAGTCCAGCTTCCCGAAGTCCCACTATACGGCCCCTATCAAACTCACTAAGTTGACGAAATCGTACAGGTCTCCGTACTCTAGGCATCGTAACCGATCGTAAAGGATGCCAAGAACCAAAATCCGCCAACGTTGATTCTTTACTGCGGCTGAAATATTCATTTTTAGAGCGTTAGTGAATTAAAAAAAAGCAGTATAAAAACCGGAATGTCCAACTGATAAGGCTGAAAATTTTTTCACTTTTTATTTACAGTAACCAACTTTTATTAAAATAAAACCATTTAAACTGGGTTTTCGGATTTATATGTCACTTAGTATATTTAAAGTGCGAACATTAGCAACTTTAATTTCACCGATTAAGTTGTTAAGTAATCTTTGAGCATTCTTACAAAATTCTTGATTAAATGTACATTCATTACACTGTATGGTAGATTATAATAAGGTTTGATTGCATCAGTGACAGGGTAATTTAATCCCATAGTAGTTCTAGTGGGAATGTGATCTTGTCTCATATGTGCATTATCTGTGATCAGAATTTTTGTGTATAACCTTTGTTGGTTATTTAAAATTTTGAAAAGCAATTCACATTGTTATAATTCCAACAGCTTATCTAGCTTTTTAACATTCAATTCTGTGTATATATTGTTCATGTTGGCAAGTCGCTCATATTTGAAAAATTCTCAATATTCTATTTTGTGAAACTTGTGCTTCATGAAACTCAGTTTTACCACTCATTCCCCAAATAGGTAACGTATTTCTAAAGTGTGCCAAGAAAAATGCATCATAAATGTTTATTTTACTTTTTATAGTTAGGTAGTCTCTAATGGGCAAGGCAAGGCAGCTATCGTTGACATTGACGTCGTTTTATCCAGAAAATTTGAATGTGACTAGACCAATCCAAATCATCATCAATTTGTTGTTTGATACTTTTTTTACAGGGTTGTCCAATAGGGACGCAGGAAAGTAAACGTCAATTTGACATAGACGCCATCTTTGTTTTCTGTCACCGACATGTCATTTTGTTAGTTGAATGTTTACCATTGATCGCTATGGAATCGTATTCGATTGAAGACCGCACTAAAGTTATTCAAGAGCGCTACAAAAATGGTGCAAAAATAAAAAACACGCTTCGCGCGCTTCGTGAACATTTCGGTCGCAACAACCGCCCAAACGAAACAACCATCGGTCGTCTGGTGCGTAAATTCGAGGCAACAGGTTCTGTGGCAAATCTGCCAGGCTCTGGCCGGCCAAGGAGCGTCCGCACACCGGAAAATATTGCTGTTGTGAAGGAGAGTGTGAGAGACGATCCGAAACAATCAACAACGCGTCGATCCCAAGAATTGGGCATTTCGAGAACCAGTTTGCTCCGCATTCTCCACAAGGATTTGAATGTACACGCCTACAAGATCCAATTGACGCAAGAGTTGCGTCGGGCCGACCATTTTTCGCGCCGAACGTTCTCAGATTGGCTCCTTGAACACCGCCAAATTGATGCCAATTTTTCATCAAAAATCATGTTCAGCGACGAAACGCATTTCACTTTGAATGGGACGGTAAACAAGCAAAACTGCCGCATCTGGAAGAACGAAAATCCCCGTGAGTATCAAGAGCAGCCGATGCATCCTCAAAAAGTGACTGTGTGGTGTGCATTGTGGTCACAAGGCATCATCGGACATTACTTTTTCGAAAATGCGGCCGGGGACGCCGTTACCGTCAATTCTGAGCGATATCACGTGACGATAGAGGACTACTTTTTGCCGCAACTTGAAGGAATGGATATGGACGATGTTTATTTCCAACAAGACGGTGCAACATGCCACACAACCAACGTCAATATCCATCGATTGCACTCCTTCTTCCGTGATCGCGTGATTTCGCGCAGAGGAAATGTGCCATGGCCACCAAGATCGTGCGATTTGACTCCCTTGGACTTCTTTTTATGGGGATATTTGAAAAGCAAAGTCTACGTCAACAAACCAGCCACCCTCCAAGAATTCATAAACAACATCATTGCCGAGATAAATGCCATAGAACCGACCATGTTGCAAAATGTCATTGAAAATTTCGACCATCGCGTGGACGTCTGTAAATCCAGTCGTGGTGAACATTTGAGTGATATTATTTTTCATACATAAATGGTATAAATGAACCTTCAAAATAAAGTACCCAACTTGATTTGAATATCAATCTTTCTTGTTTTAATATGCGTTTACCTTCCTGCGTCCGTTTTGGACAACCCCATATATTGATGTTATGCATTCTCATACAACGATTCTCAACTCTGTTATTCTTCTCTTTGAAAATAAGAAATTTTGTTTTATCAATGTTGGTCTTCAGTTTCAGCTTTTTGACCCTACTGAGCGGGGCCGTGGCAAATGCTTGTTCCGGAAGTTGTTGTATGCAGTATACAACTTCTTCCCGTTCAAGTGATTGTACACGCGTTAAGGAATAATTCAGTACCGATTACCGGGTGGCGCTACAAGTTCGCCAACGGGCCACTTTAGGTCTATTTAATATCACTAACACGTAAAAAGAAGGTGGTAGACAAGGACCAGTCGACCAAGGCGGTACCACCCGCTAGCTTTTCCCAAGGTGTCTTATAAATGTCCGCATGTTTCCACACCTAAGCTATGCAGTCGGTTATCTTCCAAAACAAAGAAATCAATGATGATGGATCCCTCTAGCACTAAGAACTCCGGACATAAACTCACTCCACTTTCGGAATGCCCTGGTGGAGGGTAGTCTCGAACATCGAAGATAAAATTTGTTTTTCGAGCACCTGCGCGATCAACTGGAACATTGATGCTGTTCATCACTACCTCCAATCCAATCGTCCCTCCGTGCTTTTCTTGGCGGAGACAAAAATCTCAGAGTCTGCACCGATTAACCATCATATCTTACCAAACTACAAGGTGCACTCAAATCTAAGAAAGAACGGGGGAGTTGTGGCTTTTGTCCGCAGCAGTATTTCCTGCTCCAGAGATGCTTCATTGGAATCAGGCCGGAAGGACATTCTGTGGCTTCGCCTCAACTCCAAAACGTCACTCAAATGTATCTGCTGCCTTTATCGCTCTCCCTCGGACCATAACTGGGATGACCTACTCGAATACCTCGCCGTCCAGATCGACTTCCTGAACAACATTCACCCCGCTTCAAAGGTAGTTCTTCTCGGTGATTTCAATGCACATAATGAGCTTTGGTTGGGCTCAAACAAGACCGATGCAGCAGGTCGTGCAGTCTAAGCGTTCGCCCTTACTCGAGGGCTGACCCAGCTGATGACGAGCCCTACTTTTTTCCCCGCCCTCGCGTTTCGTCACACGCCAGTAGCCTGCTGGACCTCTTCCTAACCACACAGCCTATCCCTTACAGCACTGCTGTCCTGTCCCCCCTGGGTAACTCAGAACCACGGTATTGTCGAGTTTAGGTTTCAGTCAGAACCTGCTGTGGCAGCAGAACCTCGTACAGGCCGCAAAACTTGGCATTACGGACATGCCAACTGGGAGGGGCTCAGAGACTTTTTCTCTTGCTTCCCTTGGAGAGATGTCTGTTTCACTGACGCGGATGCGTCGGCTGTCTGTTCTTCGATAACAGAAATTATCCACATAGGAATGGAGGAATACATCCTTCACACAGTGAAAGTGCCTAAACCA